GGGTTTCTTAACCTTTGCCCTCTTATTTTGGACCAGGTAATTCTTTACTGTAGGAAACTGTTCTGTGTATTGTGAGACCTTTAGCAGTATCCCAGGCCCCTACCCACTAGATGCCAGAAGTAGCCCACCCCTTTTGTGACAATAACAAATATGTCCAGATAAAATATGTACAATTATTATGTGCCAATTAAAAATAAGATACTAAGAAGAAGTCTCCAGACATTGCCAGATGCCCCCTGGTTGCTTCTGGTTGCAAGCCAGTGATACAGAGAATCCAGAGGATCAGCAAGAACTGTATCAATTTCTTTATTATATCAGTATGATCAGAAGTGCCATAAAGCGTTCAAGACCTGATTTTAAGTATGGCCTCAACAAGTATACAGTATTGTCAGCAATGGTGAGGGACAGCATTGTTACCATGATACTCACTTGGCGAGTGCTTGCTCAGGACATTCCACACATGAATTCATTAGTCTTCCCAGCAACTCCAAGGAATGGGTGCTGCTATCATTCTTCCCACCCTGCATCTGAGGAACTGAGACATGGAGGTGCTGAGGTGCCTGCCTGAGGTTACCCAGCTCCTGGCAGAGTCATCCAGGCAGCACAATTCCAGTGCCCAAGGGCATGACCTCTCTGTCCTACTGTCCTTCCTATAATGTCTGTATTTCATTGTCCTTCATGAGACCAGCAGAATACCGAGCACAGAGCAGCTTCTCATTAAACCTGTATTGTCCGTCTCAGCATTAGTGTTCACTGGGGCACTCTGCTGCTGGCAATCTGCATGGCATGCCCTCCTGCTTCAAGAGGCTCACTGCTCAAGCCTCCCCCACTCCGTCTCTCTCAAGTCTATAAAATAGCACACTCCTTCACTCCTTAGCTCCTTCCCTTGCTTTAGTCTTCCTCAGCGTATTTAGCCTCTGACCTGCAACCCCAACAGACAGAAATGTCTCCTGAATGAAAGGAGGAACTTTTGCATGCTGTGTTTACTGCTGCATCCACAACACATAGACTGCTCCTTGGTGTACAGAAGATGCCCACTAAGGGTGTAGAATGAATGAAGACACACTTTCACTGGATATTATGTCTGGACTCTGGTTAGTAGTTCCTACTTTTCCTCAGTACTATGCTTAAAATAGACTCTTTCCCTAAATGACCAGAGATGTTTATGCAGAAGAGAGGCCTAGTCCTCAACAAAAGGGTCAGTTTGTTGAGGATCCCTGACCAGTGCCCATCAGAGGTTTATTGTTAGCTGGCCAATCTCGCTAGTGCAAGTCTATTTTGAACTTTTTGTTTTGTTGGTCTGTGAAAGGAATTCAGTAGATTTCATGATAATATCCAGAGTCAGTGAGAATAATTTATATTTAGGCTTGGGTTAAACTATTTTGTAAAATATTGCAAGAAAATACAAGGTCAGATTTTTGTGCAAAAGTTATCAGAAGCAGATTCTACCTTTCCAGATCTCTCTGCATCACTACTCATAAGTTGAAAAAAATATAGATCTAATTTGAATGTATTAAAAACTTAGCAGTTGAACTCATTACACAGGAAATGAAGCCACTCAGTAATTATAGATAGAAATACTGTTAAATTACAGTAAAAGTCCCTTTGTTTCAAAACCTTGTCCTTCTCACTCCCTACAAAATTATTTTGAACATTTGAGATCCCCACAAACTATAGGGCTTGGGACAGATGCCCAGTTTGGTTTTTTGTAAAGTCATGGGTTGTCCTGCAATCAACATTTCAGGACATTGTGTTTACAATTGAGAGAGCTCATTTCCTAAGCCTTGAAAATTGGCCCTGGGAAATTTAGATCGGATTCATCCCTCATCTTGGCTTATATTCATTCTTAGGGCCTGTGCAGGTAAATAAACTCAGAAGGCAGAGAAATGCTTCTTGGTTTCTGCCTTGGGGATAGAACAAATGAACAAAATTAGAAAGAATGTATAGCAGAATATCACCGTCTATGCTGAACACCAGTTTTCAGTTCCACAAAATCCCCTGTGCCATAGCTGAGTGCGGTGTCCCTCTCATGTCTGAATTCCAGTGCCAGCACCTGAAGACATCAGTAAGAGACTGTTCCATCATTCACTCAAGTCTCCATCAACATGCGTTAGGTTTTAAAAGAGGTTGTAGAGCACAATTGCATAAACACAGTCTTATACAAAAATGCCACAATTGTATTATTATACTGCATATTCTTTAAACTTTTTGGTGTGGATAAGAAGCTACCCACAAATAAAAATGAATTTAGACTAGAGCTATCCAAGAGAACTTTTGCAGTGGTGGGAATGATCTATATTTCTTATGTAACACAGGTGGCAATTGAACACTTGACATGTGGCTATGTGACTGAGGAGCTGAATTTCCTTTTTTTGGTACTGGGGCTCAAACTTGGGACCTTGCGCTTTTGAGGCAGGTGCCAGAACCACTGAGCTAAATCCCTGGCTGAATTTCTAATTTGAATAAATTAAAGCTAAACAACTAATGATGGCTAGTGGCTACTTTATTGGAGAGCACAGAAATACCTTCCTTTAAGATAAGGGTCCTGCGATACCTCAAAGAACTAGGACTGGAAGTCCCATCTGACTCAGCTATTCCCCTGCTGGGTTTGTTCCCCAAAGAATTAAAAGAATCATACCACAGTGATATATGTGCACCCATGTTCCTAGCAGCACATTTTGTAATAGCTAAAACTTGGAAACAGCCCAATTGCCCATCAACTGGAGACTAGATAAAGAAAATGTGGGTTTTAAATAAAATGGAGTACTACTCAGCCAGAAAAAATGAGAAATTAGAGACATTTATAGCTAAATGTATGCACATTGAGACGATACTCTTAAGTGAAATTAATAGGACACACACATGTAAATACCAAATAGTTTCTCTAGTGTGAGAAACTGAAAGTGTAAATAAGGAGTAAAAGGTATAATAGATAATGTGAAATAGGAAGAAAATGGGCAAAGGGGAAGGGGAAGTGGGAGGGGTAGGGGAAAGGAGAGAATGGAATTAATATGAGAAAAAGAAAAAATGGAAACCAAGTCTTTGTAAATAGGGAGGGATGGAGGGGTTGAAGGGAGGGCAGAGGAAGGGGTAAAAATAAGAACCAAGAGAGATTATGTAAAGGTGCAAATTTTTAATGATGAATGTCATTATATTGTATACCTAAAATGTACCAATAATTAGAAGGAATAATCGATAATGCAAAATGGGAAGAAAAGGTCCAAAGGGGTAGAGGTAGTGGGAGGGGCAGGGGAAAGGAAAGAAGGGAAAGGAAAAATGATGAGAAATGGAAAAAATGGAACTAAAGTCTTTGTAAATAGGGAAGGGTGAAGGGGGTGAAGGGAGGGCTAGGAATGGGGAAAAAATAAGAACCAAGAGAGACTATGTAAAGGTACAAATCTCTAATGATGAATGTCATTATATTGTATACCTAAAATGCACCAATAAAATTGGCTCCTAGATGCCAAGCCTCACTGGCCTTCTAAGACTAGGAATATAGGAAATTCAAAGCTGTGCTAAAGCGGATCCTGAGCCTTCCGTGTGGCTGGTCTCTTATTTCAGGATGTCAGGATCCTTTAGGAGGACTAGCAAACAGCTTTGTACTTTGTACTCTGTACTCTGCACTCTGCATTGCAAAAAAGTTGCTAATGTTAAAATGATTCAGCAGAAGGTGGACACTGAGAGGGGAAGTTGGAGGTAGTGAATCTATTAGAGTCCGTTCCCTCTCCAGGCTGCTTCTTTCTGTTCACAGCATCATCTGCTGCTATGACCTTATGTTCAACCTGGGGAAAAATCTATTCTTAAGTTGCTTTGGAAGGTTTATAGAGGTACACATTTGCCTGGGAGTTCTTACACTCCAGGAATCCCTACAGTGGCTGGGTTCAGATATTAGAATAAATTTGCTCTTTTAAAATTACTATAGAAACTGAAAGTGTAAATAAGAACCAAATGTATAGTAGATATTGTGAAATAGGAAGAAATTGTTCAAAAGGAAAGGGAGGAGAGAGAGGGAAAGGAAGGAAGGGAAAAGAAAAAATAAGAAAAGAAGGATAAAATGGAAACAAAGCTTTATAAATAAGGATGGGAAAAGAGGTTGAAGGGAGGAGAGGGGAGTGGGAAAAAAGGAGGAATTAAGATATATCATGTACAGCTACAAATTCCTTATGATGAATGTGATCATTATGTATATCTAAATTCTACCAATAAAATTAATAAAAAATAAAATTACTATAAAGTAACTTCAACCAACCCAGCTTAAGATGATTCTGATCTGACATCCAGGAAATTTTATGAAGTGAGAAATACCACAAGGGGAAAACAAAAGGAAAGATGAAATAGCAGAATGTCTCAGGTTTAGCTATAAAGCAAAATGTTGAAAAAGAGACATGACTTAGAGGTCCATGAAGTTCCAGACATGAGTATAGCTTTATCCTACTTTTGCTGACCGGAGGACGGCGGTGATAATAGGAGTAAAGCATAGGTGATAGCAGGCACATGTACTCAGCATGTGCTGAGAATCACCTCACTTGGAGCATGATGGTAAACGGTGCTAGTACCCAGTGCAGGTGCTCAGTGCCAGGCTGGCAGCATGATGAACACCCAGAATTCCTGCCCCACCCTGGGAGATTCCAACCCCAACAGATCTGAGGTGAGGCCTGGCAATGTGCATTTGTAGCATGCAATTCTGATGCACAGATAGATCTGGACATCTGTAAACCCTGGGGGGAATGACTTATTAGGGGAGGTGGATACTGGAACCAGGGAAGATGAGTACTGGAACAGGAGTCTTCTGGCTTAGGGATTAGAGTAAAAGTATTATTTGCCCAGGTCCGTGGGTGATGCCTATGGCATTGTTACAACTTAGGCCTCACATTAAAAAAAAAAAAAAA